TAATGTATACAGGGTGTTTGGTGTTTGGTACATCGATAGGAATATTTCAATGAGTGATAGTTGAGGTCATTTGGGAGCTGTTTGACCAAATTTACCCTTATTCAAAGTTTCGTCGTTTTTGAGATATCAGCATTTTTAGATACCTATTTTTGAATTGTTCCTAAAACATATTGTCTTTTTTTTTGGTAAACACTTGTCCCTTTCTCAATTTTTTCCCGATATTCTCAATATACACTCTTTTGAAAAATACGGAAAGAAAAACCGGATGATTGATACAAAAAATATGTAGCCCAAGTTAGGTGTTGAAATACATGGATTCAAAATATCTAAAAATGGCGATATCTCGAAAAACGGCAAACAAACAACTTTCCATTAGGGTACATATGGTCAAACAGCTACCAAATAACCCCAACTATCACTCATTGAAATATTCCTATCCATGTACCAAAGACCCTGTATATCAAGGTCTGAGGCAAGTCTATTTTTAACTAATAAATAATTTATTTAGAAAGCGTTTATACACAAAGGGAGACGCGCATCTTCAGTGACGTCCCAAAGGTATCGGCGCTTGACAATAATAGGCAATCCCCTGCTTATAATCCTTGGTTTGTGTCAAACGTTGGTCGGCTGTCATTGGAGGTCATTGGCTATCTTTGTCTGTCTCTCAACGTTATATATTTCTTCTCTCTCGTCTATCGTGTAACGAAATTTGCCAAAACGTGACGTTACGTGACGCGTCTTTCAAACCACTCTCAATTCCCATCCAAATATCAGACAGCCGCCTAAGGACCGGTTTCTCAATAGCAAATTACCCCTGGGTTAAGCATAACTCCAGGGTAAACATTGCAACTAGACACGTTTACCCTGGTGCTAAAACCAACCTGAGGTGACTCGCTATTGATAAACCGACCCTAAAAAAAATAATGTATCTAGGTATATCTACGTAGGTGAAGTCATAATTTTTTACATTCCTATGAAAGTAGACTTAATTGACTTATAATTTATTTTATTCTTTTATGAAAACTTTTTGATTTTACCGCTTCTCGTGTGTCGTAAATCTTTGAAATTCATTAATACGGCCGAACCACCCCATAGTATGCCAAGATTGCCAGTTATGCCAACCGAGATGCCAACTAAAGATCCTGTAATCCCTGTATTGCGCTTTGGTGAACTTTGGTTGTGCTGCCCTCTAATAAAGTGAGTTCAGCTTTAACGTAACTAAGACAAGAATGTATGATCGGTTTTAGTGATGCCTCGAGACTGGTCTCGTCTCGTCTCGACTTTTCGAGACGAGACTGGCTTTTGGTCTCGTCTCGTGAAGTCTCGACGAGACGAGACCAGACTCGGCGAGAGTCTCGTGCAGTCTCGAGTCTCGAGATTACACTTAAAATGTTTCTTTCATAGCTTTGTTATTGCACTATTCTGAGTTATTTGAATATGGAATCATGGAATCAGTAAATTAAATATCACGGTTACTCTTTACTGTGATTTTTCACTAATTGCTTTTTCCCTGTGGCAGTTTGGACTTCCGTTATAATATAAAAATAAAAACCATAAATACACGGTGTCCGAAAAATAGCGCAAAAGCTCTCCACGTAGTAGGGGACCCTTTGAGAGACCCTGGAAACATAATTAAATTTAAAAAATCCTTCTCTAGTATTATTCTCGGTAATATGAAGAAGTAGATGTGAAAATTCACCTTCGAATTCTTCAGGTAATTACATCGGTATTTAACTTAATTCTCTGACATATTGTCAACATGATATTTTCAGTGTTGCCAATTTTAATAAATATCAAAATTCAGCCAAGAAAACTTTATCTTAATCTACACCTAACACGTGCGCAAAGTGTCTTTTCCTCAGGCAAACACTTATCCGTATAACTTTGCGTGCGGAAAAGTAACACTTTGCGCACTTGTTAGGAAAATAACTATTCCCGCACTGAGTGCAGAAAATTAAAATGCTAACCTAAAATTGGTAGGTATACAGGTACCTATACTTACAAATATACAGGTATACTGCAGGTACAGGTGCGGAAAAGTGAAAAAAATAATCTCAAATTGGTAAATATTACCTTTCATCTCGTAGAAAAAAATGCGTTCCTAGCTCGTGCGGAAAGCCTCTTTTCCTCACTTGATTGCTTGCCGAACTCAATCGCGTGCGGAAAAGTTGCACTTTCCGCACTAGTTAGGAAATATACTATTGCGTCTGTCTAAAAAAGTACATCGCACCCACAGACAAACGAACACCTGAACACCTTGATGTGAAGTGAGACCGAAAGGGAAAGTCAAAATATAGGCAAGGTTTGAATTCCAGGACATAATGTGTATAAAGAGGAACTATCCCCAAAGAGCCTGTTATTTGAATTTATTTGATTGAGTGTAAACTAATATTCAATTAGCTTGTAATTATTCAATATATTATCATCCTTTGTTGTGCCTAATTCCATGAATATTTATTTCACCCAATCCATAATAAGAAAGAGAGACACTCTGTACGATAACTTGCCTATTATAAAATGGAGGGAAAGAAAGGTACCTACCTGACCTGGCAAAAAAGACAGGGGAACAGAGTTTGTTGAGAAAGTGTGCTGAAAGGTTCTCTGTGTCCCTGTGACTAGGCGTTTGGGATATTGAAGATAAATTGAGGTATCAGAGATAATAGAGTTTTACTGTAGTGATGTAGTTATGATTTGATATTGTGCACATTTTATGTTGTTAATTTGGTTGAATTATGCAACCTGCCTACAACTGTTGTAGGGAGACCTCCCCTCATTATTGAAGGTAATGTTGTGGCCTTGGTTTGTTGTAAGGAATTGGCGCTGTTCTTCGAGTTGTGACTTGCGCATGCGGCTTGAATTATACAATTTGGGTTTGAGTGTCTCAGAACTATTGTTACACTTTTACTCTGTTGTTGGAATGCTAATTGTTTAGCGACAGTTGGGCGTTTGGAGAAGCCTCTACTCATTTTAGGTGACACTAGCTAGTCGTCGAAGTTAGAAGAAACATGTAATATCCAGGTTTAACTATAATATATTATTTTCATTATTGAATGATGATTTTGATGGTTTTCTCTGTGTATTTGGAATTGTGTTCTAGAGCAAGGGGCGGTGAAGTACTTTTTTTAAAATTTATTTGGCAAACAGAGCAGTAATCGTATTTATGTTTGTTTCATAGAATATTGGCTACAAATAATTGGCTTGCAGAATGAATTGCTTTGTGAAGACCCACAGAAAGAGATCCTGTAGGTTATTTCATTAACAAATTTTACATGAGTAGGTACCTGATTATTTGTAGTCTGAAGAAAAAAATGATGAGGCGAAAATGTGCAAATCTCATCTTCAGGTGTCAAAGTTGGAAAAATATCAGTATTTCCCCACTCGTAAATCCATATCGATAATATTACGATCCGAAAAATCCTGACTGAAAAGTAAAAAGTAGGAGACAAAATTTAAATCACAACCCATTTTTATCATCGGAAATTTGGAACCTCAGCTAAATTAAAAAAAAAAAAAAAGAAATACATTTTGATAGATTCAAACACCGGTTTTATTCACTTCCAGACTTCTCGTGCTGGTTGATCCCAATGGCCATAGCTGAATTATTTCATCTCACACCAGTCTATAACACTATAAAAATAATGTTAGACAGCCTCCCCTACAAATTTAGTTAAAGAGTGAAATAAATCTCATTTTCTCTGAGCAATTTTATGAGAAAATTTAAATCAATTACCGAACGTCTGTTGTTTTCAGGCCAAAATTCGTATGGTTTGAAATTTGCCAAAATATTTAAAAAATGTAAAAAAAAAATAAGTTTGTACCTAAATTATATTGGAACTCAATGAAGACCCTTTTGTTCTCCCCAAAACAATAATAACTATCTTGCTTATGCTAGCATTTATTTTATTATAAAATACGCTTGCAGCTATTAGAGAGTTCTCGTGCCGTCCAAATTTCAAATACCGTAACGCTATTTGACAAGTATGACAGTTCTTACGGTATTAGCGTTAGCGGAGCCCGCTATCTAACGGAACTTACCGGATGCCTTACCGTAACGCTATGCTATGTCAAAACTAGTTTACGCCCCATTTATGTCTGCAAAAACAGCTACTTCTAATAATTCCTCAATAAAAACACCAAGGGAAAATTAAGCTTAGGAATCTTCAGAATAAATAAAAGTAACAAAACAAGCAAAAAAAGTTGGGTTAGATCACTCAACTCAGCACTCAGCTGTCAAAATGTAAACAAAATAAGGGATTAGAGGATTTATGTGTCTTCGTGTTCGAGAACTATTACCATGTGAAATACCGTATTGTTAGCGATACCGTATTAGCGTAGCGTCTGACGCACGAGAACTTTCTATTGTCACAGATCACCTAATACAGATGCGTAAGTACGTATACCTACTTGCCGACGACGATATTCGGTGACGAAGCTGGGCTGCCAGCAACCCTATGCATAGATAAAGATCGCCCGCGTTAGAACAATTAACGTGGCCTAGTGTGTGAGCCTGTTTCAGCCTGTGTGTTTACATATTTTTACGGGTAGAAAAAAAAAAATTGTTGGTGTTTGTGAACCAATCAAAGAAATAATATTATATTATTGAGCTTCCGCATTTATATAATAAATATGTTCAAAATACATTGATGTGGCATTGGTGCGGCCAGCCTATGTCTATCAAATTATTCTTGAACCACGAATTCGCCGCTCTTTCGCATCTGTATGTAGGTAATCTGTGCTATTGTTTTGCATTCATTCACTCTCGAGATTTCCTCGCAGTAATTTGTTTCACTTAGATTAAATTTAAAGTTTTCATTTGTAATACTTAGTTTTAAAAATAAATGTTTTTTAAAAACAAAGCTTACTGAAGTGGAAACTTAATTCCTACATACCCAGGTATTTTTTTTTTTTCAAAGTAAAACACACTAAGAATCTATGCGCATCCATGATATATTGCCAATAAATTAATAATAACCATAACGCCCCACCTCTTCAAAAATTACCTGTGCCTTTTCATCTAATTTGAAGCAAAAAAAATAGAAAATCCCTTCCACAGTAATAGCCCAATCGGATTTCCAACATTTACGGAAATTGTATTTTTTTAGGAAATTTATTTTATGCGCATTTTCTTCAAACTTTTTGGGATCCGTTTGACTTTGTTCGGCGAAGAACTCTACTAATTGATTTTTATTTAATCGGCCCTTTATGTCTAGTATCCCAAACTTTTTATGAATACAATCTAGAAATTCGTATGGATCCCATGGATCGCCAGGATCGCATTGTTTTTTTGCTTCTATTTCTTCATCCTATAAATAAATAAGTTTTTGTTTACCAGTTACATTTTCAATAATATAAAAAGTCTTACATAAAATTCACAAATGGCAAACGTTGAAAATAAGGCTATAAGAAGCACAGTTACCACAAAAGGTCTTAACAACATTTTCACTTTTGTGAATAATAACTTCGAAGTTTTTTAATAAATATCCTATATATTTTTTTAATGGATGTAGATTTGTATTGTATTTAGTTTATTAAGTGAAACATGCCCACACGTTTTTTTTATTAATCATTAAAATATGGAGAATAAATTGCTGCTGCTTGCAAAATACCAGAAAACCCCAAGTCAATTTTCCGAAGGGCTAGAGTGTTAACTTCCCGAATAAATTAAACAACAATTTGCACTACTAGATAAAGTTTTTAATTATAAAAATGGAAAATTACTTTCTAATTAATTTTAGCAACACATTTTCTTTGGCGCTTTTTCTTGACACACTGCTGTATCGACTTTTGACAAAAGACATTACTGAATGACATTGCATGAACATACCCACAGATGCTGGCTTCAACTACTGATTGGTTTTCATAAATCTGAATTGTTTTACTCTAATTGCTCCAATCAACACTCCCTTCCAATCTCAGATTTATGCAAACAAATCATTATTGTATAAAATAACTACTAAATATCTACTTCCAAAATATTTAACTTATTCCTTAAATATATAAACTGTACAGAATCTAGTGCTTTTGTGAATATGTCAGCAATCTGTTCCTTTGTTGGTATATAAACTAGTCAAAACGAAATAAGGACCACTTTTGAAAGCCCATCTATTTTTAATGAATTTTGAATAACCCTGGTAATGTGTTTATTTCCATTCACAATATAAATTTTTTGTGCACACTTTATTTGTTTATCTATACTTATTGTAAATGGAAATAGTCACTTTACCAGGGTCATTCAAAATTTAATGAAAACCCTGCTCTTAAAAGTGGTCCTTATTTCGTTTTGACTAGTATATTTCAAAATAACTTGCTCATTGCTGACACAATCACGAATGTAATGATGCTTGACATCTATATGTTTAGATCTTTTCGTTTCGAGCGTCGATGCCATTTTAATGCATGACTGATTATCCTCGAAAAAATTTACTGGATAAACATTTCTATTTAAAATTTCTTTTAAAAGTTGGCTTACAAACATAACTTCGGTTAAACAATTTGAAAGAGCAATGTACTCTGATTCTGCGCTAGAAAGAGATACTGTACTTTGCTTTTTGGTTTTCCAACATATAATATTATTGAATATTTTCAACATAAAACCAGTAATACTTTTTCTATCTTTCGTATCATTGGCAAAATCAGAATCCACAAATGCACTTAAAATGTCCTTTGGAAGGTTTTCCTTTGTATCAGATTTGATAAAGACCAGTCCTAAATTTACTGTGTTTTTTAAATATTTCAGGACATTTTTAAGTTCTTTCCAATGTTTATACTCGTAACAATTTTGAAATTTAATAAAATATGTGATTGCAAAACTAATGTCCGGTCTTGATCCTAACATTAAGTACATTAATGAACCTATTAATTGCCTGTAAGGTACAATTTCCAAATTTAAATTATTAATTTTGCTTTCATTCATTTCCAGATTAATTTTAGGTTGCACAGGAATTTTTGAAGGCTTATAATCATTCATTTCAAAATCATTCAAAATTTTACAAATCAAATTCCTGTGGTGAATTATAATACTGTCATTATTTAGAATAATATTCAATCCCAAAAACTTCAAATTTTTGCTATCAGACAAATTTTGCACATCAAATTTTTTCATTAGATTTATTTTATTATTTTTTATGTCTTTTTGAAACCTTGAAACAATAATAAGATCATCTACATGAACAAGAAGATAAGTTGAATTTTTAAAATAAAGGCATGGATCACTTTTTGACCTTTGAAATTATATTTCTAATATAAAATCATTGAATTTCTCGTACCAACATTTGGGAGATTGTCTTAAACCATAATGAGCTTTTTCTAATCTACAAACAAAACTTTTATTACTCACATTCAGTCCTAGTGGTACCTGCATGAAAACTGGGTGTTTTAATGTACCATTTAAAAAGGCACTTTTGACATCCAGTTGGTGTATTTCCATATTTTCTTCCAGACTTAGGGCTAGCAAGATTCTCACAGTCATCATTCTGGCGACTCGGCGACTGGAGTGTAGACTTCTTCCAGGTTAGATAATTGATAGCCTCTGGCTACCAATTTAGCTTTTTTCACTTTTTCAATGCCGTTTTCACTTAGGATTTCTTTTTCTCGAAAAATCCATTTCGAATCAATGATTTTTTCACTCCCGGGTACCGCACTTTTTTGCACTAAAGTCCATGTTTTATTTTTGTCCAAAGCACTTAATTCTTTGTCTATTGCTTCTTTCCACTCTTCACTGGTATTTATTGCTTGTTTATATGACTTGGGTACTTCTGGTGATAAATCTTGTATTGATAAGGCTAACATTATTTCTTCTTCATTATTCATTATTCTTCTAATTTCCTGGGTTTCCACTTCATTCTTGTACTTCTTATGATTTCTTGTTTGTCTTCCTTAATTTGGTTTTGTTTCGGTTTTTGTTATTTGTACTATTTGGTTCATAATTTAGATTTTCTGTTGTTTCTGTGTCTTCTTTGTTTTTAAATTCTTCTTCATCGATTATTGTTTCATTCTCCATTTGTTCTAGTTGTTTATTTTTGTATTTGGGATTTTCATCACAGATAATGTTTGTTCCAATACACATTTTTGCTTTTTCTGCGTCCCAGAGACGGTATCCGTTGTCAGTATATCCGACTAGTATCATTTTCTTGCTTCTTGGATCTAATTTGTTGCTTCTTTCCTCTTTTGGTACATGAAGATGTGCATTACAGCCGAAAACTATTTTTTCCAAATTTGGTTTCTGACTAAACCAAATTTCTGCAGGTGTTTTTGAATCTTTAATCACAGAAGTTTCAGTTCTATTGAGTAAATAAATAGCTGTTCCTACAGCATCTTCCCAAAATTCTTTTGGTAAATCTGCGTCGAATATTAGACATCTAGCTTTTTCCATAATAGTTCTGTTTAACCTCTCAGCAACACCATTTTGTTGCGGTGTGTATTTTACAGTGTTCTGTATATGAATACCTTTTTGACTACAGAAATTTTTAAATTCGTGGGAAACATTCTCTCCACTATTATCACACCTGAGTCGATTAATTCTTGAATTAAATTTATTTTCTACCATAGCAACATATATTTTAAATTTTTCAGACTTCACTTTTGTGGCTTAGAAAATAACAAGCTGCAAAATGTGAAAAATGGTCTAAAAAGGTAACAAAGTATCGCTTACCATGATTTGATATTGGTGTAATGGGACCGCATACGTCTGTTGATACCACTTCTAATATTTAGTTTCTTTGCTTTCCTGTCCTCTTCTAATAATTTGTATGGAGCTTGTGTTTGTTTTCCCTTGAGGCACACTTCACAAATTGATTTTGAAGGATATTTTGAGGAATGCCCCATTCTACGGTGCCATAGTTCCGAATCATTTTCTGAAATATTTAGCATTGCTTTTTGCATTGTACATGTCAAAGTGTACAAATTTCCGGTAAGATTTCCTTTCAATACATTTTTATTTCCTTTCTTGATTTGTACCTCATTATCTTTAAATATTACATAGAGTCCTTTTTCTTCTACCTTTTTAACTGAGAGTAAATTATGCGTTAAATTTTTGCATAGTAAAACTTTTTCTAGCTTAAAATTTCTACCATTATTTTCCAAGTGCAATGTTCCCTGTTTACAGGCTTCAACAGCTTCACCTTCCTTTGCTACTTGTATTTTGTGATTAACTACTCCCACATCAGTTAAATACTTTTCCATGTCTGTAATAACCAAGTGGTTTGTTACTCCACTATTAACAATGAATTTTACTATGGTTGAATCTGCTGTCAAGACTATATCTTCAATATTTTCATTTGTTAAAAAGGCTATTTAATTTTCTTCTGTTAAGTGACATTGATTACGAGGATTGTTAGATGTATTGCCCGAAGGAATGTTGGATGAATTGTTATTTCCGAAGGTATTTCTGTATATGCATTCTGATCTTTTGTGCCCGTTTTTTCCACAGTTGTAACAATTGAATGGAAAATCACTGGTTCTGTTCATATAATATTAAAAGGTACATTTCTATTTCCGCTAATATTTCTTGAGTGAGTATAGTTTCCACTAAAATTTCCTCTTCCTCTATTTGATTTAAAGTTTCTTTGATTTCCAATAAATGCTTGCGGAATTTCTTCTTTTTGATTTCGGTTTCTTTGCTGCCTTTCCTCTTCCATAAGCAATTTATTTTTGACTACGTCCAGTGAAATACTTGAAGTAGATTAACGATACAAAATATCAATGGCAGTTACTACTGAGTTATATGACGGTGGCATAGCTGCTAAAAGTTGACTTATGACTTCAGTTTCTTGAATATTTCCTCCGCTATTTCTAATTTCCAAAACAATCTTTTCAAAATCTATTATAAACAATTGCAACGATTCTTTTTCAGCAAATTTTAAATTTCTTAGTTTACTTTGTAGATGTACTAAATTAGCAATACTTTTCTTTATATATGTACCCCTTAACTCATTCATAATTTCTTTTGCAGAGACTTTTCCTTTAATCATTTCTAGTATATTGTCAGACAAAAATTGTACTATTATATTTCTAGCTTTGATATCCTTTCTTTTAAAATCAGCAATTACCTTTGCATCTTCTGTTGCAGCTGGAGGATCCTTTTCGAGCACATCCAATACCTGATAATGTTCCAGCAACAATTTGATTCGAAATTCCCAATTTTCATATTCTGATCCATCAAAAGGTTTTACACTTGATGTTGCTGTTGCAGTTGCAATTGTCTTTCACTATTTACTTTCACGAATTTCCAGAATTTCCTTTTCCAAAAAAAAAAAACTTTATAACTTCCACCCAACCTCAAAGTTTTGGCTAAGCGTTTTTGTTGTTTATACCGTTTATTCGTTATATTCCACCCTTTCCGATACTGGGCACATAACCTGTTAACTTCCCGAATAAATTAAACAACAATTTGCACTACTAGATAAAGTTTTTAATTATAAAAATGGAAAATTACTTTCT